CAACACTGATAATAAATCAGCATATTAGAGTGATTTCTGAAGATCATGTGACACTGAAGACTGGAGGAATGATGATGGAAATTCAATGCTGCGTCACAGATATAAATTATAGTTTAAAGTGTATTAAAATAGGAAACCAATATTAGAAATTGCAATAATATTTCACAATATTAGTGTTTTTTCTGTATTTTTGATCAAACAAATACAGCCTTGATGAGCAGAAGAGACTCCATTAAAAAAAACTTACTGATCCCAAACTTTTGAAGGGTAGTGTACATGCAAATGCCACAATGACATCGTCATCGTCATCATCATCATCATCACAGATTCCCCGCATTCTACACCGAAAAAACTACAAGTAAAATTTACTTAATTTTTCTTTTCAAGTTTTAGTAGAGTAAAGTAGAGACATCAAGACTTGGTACATGATACACAATGACGGTAACAATCAGTGGATAGTGTTTGAGTATGAATGGGTCATTTTGAGTAGAAAATTAACTCCAGATGTCACAAAACAGCAAGTTACTTTAACAACAAAAGCAACCATAAAACAGTGTAAATACTCAAAAACAGTGAAAATGTAACCTTATTAATTATTCATGCCCCAGTGCATGACGGGAACAACAGGATCATAACTTTGATATTTCCTTAAAGAATCCTTGTAAACAAAACAAACAATTCCAAGTAAAATATACTTAAGTTCAAACTTTAATTTCTACAAACTTAAGATGAGTAGCATTATAGAATTTACTCCTTTAATAAAAAAAAAGAATAAAAAAAATTTCTTGCCTGAACTGAATTATTTAAAGGTGACATATCATTTCCAGGTTTTAAATGCTATAATCAGGTCCCCGGTGCATCTACCAACCACGGAAACGTGAAAAAATTAACCCAGTAACTTTGTTTTGGGAAGCCTTTTTCTGCAAGTGTCTGAGAAAACGAGCGCGTCTGATTTCTCTCTCTTGGTGACGTGGCAAAGGGATCTCATTATAATATTCCCGCCCCTTAATCTGTAAGTTTCCACCCACGGCGGCCGTTATTGTGTTTTCGCAAGCGACAACGGTGTACCAGCTCTAATGCCATGGAGAAAGTTTGAGCAAAGCCTGCTAACTGCTCTGTGTTTGTCTGCACAGACGAGCAAAGAACACTGTTTAGAGTCCCAGCCTCAGAGGAGACAACAGAGCAGTGCATTTATTGATTTATTTACTGTATATCGCTGCTGCCACACAGATCTAAAATAAACATGCGATTTATTTCCCAGCTGTTTACCTTCACAGACATAACCCACTGTTTTTGTAACTCATGTGTGTTTTTAACGTAAACTTGTGTGTGAATGAGAACTTAGTTTAGTGCTCACATGCTGTGACAGCCGCTTTCTGTGCGTGTGCTTCGGATGTGTGCGCTCAGAAAACCGTATATCAGAAGTTTAAACTCATATGGTTTAAAACGCAAGATTTCAGAGTGATAAACATGATAATCAGAACCAAAACAGATGTTTTTAGCAGGTCCGAGCTGTAATGGCGCAGCTCTATTCTGGAAAAGGGGGCGGGGAGCAGCAGCTCATTTGCATTTAAAGACACAGGCACGAAAAACAGCGTGTTTCTGCTTCCACTCAAAATAGGCATTTTCAAAATGATATAATAAATGATCTGTGGAGTATTTTGAGCTGCAACTTCACAGACACATTCTGAGGACACCAGACTTATATTACATATTGTAAAAAGGGGCATAATATGTCCCCTTTAATGTAGGCATTACATTTCTTTTCCCGTAGTATTTACTTCACCACAAAAACATTTTTATCAGATGTACTATAACTTTTCAATACTCACAAAGTACACTGCTCCGAAACTCCCATGGCCGATCTCGTGTAGGTCGCAGAAGACTTCTTCCGGGTCATCTTTGAAAAAGAGGTTGGCCGGCTCTGGGTCTTTCAGTCCTCCCTTCTGCGTGGACGACGGCATCATGAGTTAGACAGAACCTCTGATGTCCACGTGCTTCTGCTCGCCTTCATTCAGCAGGCCCGGCATTTACCTGCTTTGCCTGCGGACAGAACGGAGTGCATTAAAGACTGACTGCTTGTGCAGGTCAAGTGAGGGTCATCAGCAGACAAAAGTGACTTAAAAGATTAGTTACCCCAAAAGTGAAAGTTCTGTCATCATTCACTCACCCTCACCTCATTCAAACCAGTTTGACTTGTTCTTATTTGGAAGAAAAAATAAGAAATTTTGAACAGTTGTTTCATAATGACTTAATGGATCATTTCCCAAGTCTTCTAAATTCTATTCTAAATTTTTGAGTGATGCATGACATTTTAATATAAAATATTAACATATAAGTCAAGTGGATTAGTTTTATGGTATGTTTTTTGCTTGTTTTATTCATTTAGGAGCTTGACTGTCCCTGCCCTCATCTACTGGCACAATATTGAGTGAGTAGCATATTTGTTAGAAATTTTCCTTTCGTAAATAATGACAAAACTACATATTGTGGTTCAAACTCCCCTTACGGTTTAAACCACAATCTTTAACTGATCTGTCTGCATCTTCAACTATTAGGCTACACAAACCCGCTATGATCCATTTACCAACCTGTGGGATCGAAATTATTGAGGTAAACCTACAAATGGCTTGCTTAAACGTTTTAATAACAAAGCAAGCAAACATCCTGCTCAATGCAAAAAATAAAATAAATAAATAAATAGGGGGGAAATAATAGTAAAGTATATATAAAAAAATAAAATAAATAAAAATGACATGTAAAAATAAATAGGCAAATACAAAAATAAACAAGTAAAAGAACGAAATAATAATAAAAACAAAATATAAACAAACTAAACAAATAAATAAATATCCCCACAATGCTGTTACACCAGGAATAATATCTTTTCTCATGCACATAATGTACGACACACATATCTACAGAAACTAGTGAGTGTAAAATAAATATATACTTTTATGCTAAATACAGGCCTTTCCCATTCACAAAGTCTATACTGTGTGTTGTTCTCAGCATGCTTGAGCTTGCACATGTGTTTGCGATGGTAAACTGGTGTGACACAAATGTGTTAGCACTGGGGGTAGTTTGGTTAGGCATCATGGGACGACAGCTCAGCGTCTGGCAGCATTGCTCATCATGCTAGCATGTGCACACACATACAGCGGTCACCTGCATGTAACACTGCCTACTGAGTCAGCAGACATCTGACACACAAGCAGCCATTGACCCAGGAACAAAAGGTGCTGAAAGTACTGTGTATATATATATACAAAATAAAAATAGGATTTTATAAAGTGGTAGTTGTATAGTAAAATGCAGCCGAATGGTTGGAGTAGTATGGGGGGAGGGTCATCTACAACAACAACAACAAAAAACACTTTTGACTAGAGGGAGTGTAAATAAATAAATACATTTATATCAAGCTGAAATGTTTGTGAAATCAGGGAAAAAAGATGTTTAAGAGGCAAAGCAAGATAAAACGATGACTGATGAAATATTATGAAACAAACACTTTTTTCTTTAAGAATAAGCTGCAATGATAAATTGTGCACAATAAGTCAAGAAGCATTTATATAACTAAGGTCATTTTTGATTTCATGTCAACTTTAAATTGCAATTCTTTTTTTTTTTTTTTTTTAATTGCAAGCCTTTCTCAGGCCTGGGAGGGGAGTATAATGTAAATAAAACTCAGGTTCACACCATGCAAATCAAACCTAGTGTGAAAACAGCTGTAAACCTCTTGCTCCAGCGTGCAATTCTAAGCTTCAAACCTACAACCTTGCTGCTAGCTCTGATCTAAAACCACTACACCACCAGTGCCACGAGCAAAAGCACTGGACACTGGATCCTAAACCAAGAGCAGAATAGTCTCACCCACAATTCAGTTTCATAAGCGTGAGTGAGGTCCTTTTAGTCCACTGACCAAGTGAATGAAATCTTCACTATTCAATTACCGAACACTTAGACTGCGGGTAACAGAAGTCTCAACCGGACGTACATGTAAAGCCACTTCTGATTGTGATGGTTAAAGCTTTTAATTGGCATAAAGGTTAATCAGAGTTCACAGTCATCAAACAAATATATAACAATTTCTGCACAATGCAGTCACAAACCCCATTCGTTCCAGATCATTTATTGGCTTATGGAGAAAAAGACATGAACTTTCACACTCCGCTGAGTGGAGGACAGATAATCATCTTGTAGGCTTCTACCCACACACACTTTTCCCGTGTCCACGATTACACAACGCCTGCTATTGCTGGTGAGTTAATGATTTTCTAGATCGTGAACCTTCCTCAAGATCCGGGCCAAAAGAACAAGATTAATCTATTAATCTTCTTTAAAAGAGCCAAAGAGGATGCAGTGTTTTGACTCAAAGTCATTTCTGGTTGTTGGTTTAGACTTAGTGAAGACGTTACAGTAAAGAGGTTGTTTGGGCTTTACAGTAACAGGAGTTGACGCAAGTCAGCCGAAGTTACGTAAAGGGAAAAAAACACCGCTGTGCCACACAGAAGCCATTCGGTCTTGTTTTATGACCAGTACAGGAGATTAAAGTCCAGCTACAGTAAATGTGGCTTCATTCAACCCTTGCGTAATTTAAAGCAACATTTAAAGGGATAGTTTGAAAAATGAAAATTCTGTCATTTCTGTATTTACTCACCCTTGTGTCATTGCAGAACATAAAATAAGATATTTCGAGAAATGTCTCACTGGTTTTTGTCCAGTGTTGCTTGGTTCAACTTCCCAGCGTTCTTCAAAATATCGTTTGAATAAACAAAGTCATCCAGGTTTGAAACAATGTGAAGGTGAGTAAATTATGTCAGAGTTTTCAATTTAAGGTGAATTATCCCTGTGCTGGGTTCAATATAAGCATTGGTGACATGCTCTCAATAATCACCAAAAAGAAATCTGACTCCACCCATAGTTTGTATAAATCAAGTCAATGGAGTAAGACAATAAAATGTTAAAACACACCGTAGCTGGGTTTCCATTTAATCGCATTTCAAACATATGCCATTTAAATTTTCAAAACGTGTTTGGATACATTTTTATTAGGCAAAAGAAATGTGCATACAATGTAAACACACATGCAAATTCCCACATTTGATCATAAATCCAAATGCATCAGACATCTGCTGCCGATTGCGAGCAAACAAATACGTCAAAGTGTTTCGTCTGTGCCATCTAAATTTATGACATTTAATAAAAAAGGAAACTAAAATGCATTCCTATATAAATTATTTTTTGAACTATATAAATCAAATTAATCGAATTTGAACACGCAAATTGTTATGATATTCAGATTTTTTTTTAGATAAATCATCTTGGAAGATTTTATGTGTCGGCATGGTATGAAATTTCACCAAATTTTCACATTCACAGAATTCATGTCTATTTTCTAAATGCATGTTATAGATAGTATTGCGAACAAATGACCATGTATATCTTTTAATAATTTTTTTTTTGGACCTCACAATGCTTAATGAAAATGTAATAACTTGACCTTCCAGTGAAGACGACTTCTCTCTGGTGAAATAATCCGGATTTAAACCCCACCCTCATCTGCAAGCATGCATTCGTTTATGTATGTAACACCCACATCTTAAACTCCAATCAACAACCAATGGACACAACCAAGTCCTCACCTATAGGTTTTTTCATTAAATGTTACACTTTGAAGCAACAACATCAATTTCATCGTGACTTCGACATGAGACTCGTGTGATAGAATCACTTAAACACACATTCAGTGTAAGGTTATATCCTGCTATATTCTCCAATTCCTGCCATTACCATGTAACGCAGGTACACCTAGTAACTCTTTGCACACAAAACCACCAGGAAGCGACATGATGACGCAACTATGCATAAAGTACACCTATAACAGTAGTCCTGCCTCTAAAGAAAAGACTTAGATAGCTTAAATAACACAAATTTATATGGAATAATTAATATGAGTGCTTTAACAAAAATACGAGCTTCGCATTTCTGTTTAAAAACCCTCCAGATTCCTCTTCCCATTATAGTAAACGTGATATTTAATCTAATAAAAAGAGGGATGATTCTAATTTATTTTCAGAGCATGTTTTAGACGTTGCTGATAAAGCTTAACACGCTGCACTAAACCCGAAACATTCCCCAAATTAACATCTATTATTTAGCCAAGGCCAAAAGCGATTGGTTGACCTGTTCATCCAGCAACAGGCAGAACAATGTCTTCTAGTTGCATCATATCTGTCTACCTATCTGTCTGTCTCTCTCCCTTTTTCTGTTTCTGTCGCTTTCCAACTCACGCACAGAGTTGCCGCCTTCTACCTCCGCTCCAAACGGCGACTCTGAACACGACAGCATTTTCCTTGGCCCTCATAGGCTGAGATCCAGATATCTGCATCCAATAAGATTCCAGCAACCGGAGCCGGAGTCCCGCTTTAGGACGAAACCGGAGGAGGTGAGATGATGCAACGTAGAACCAACAGGTTGTAAGAGCCCAACGGTGAGAGTCCGTCTAATAACAACATCCATTTGGAACGTCGGTAGGAATAACTGTGAATCTATGGCTGCTTTGTGCTGAGGTTGAGAGATTAGCCAGCAGGTTGAGCCAGATTAGTGGAGTGGTGAAACGAGGAGAGCGAGACTTCATCAGACTCTGACTTTTCCTCTATATCTTGTGCCATCAGGTCCCAATGGAAAGCTTTGCATTACTAATTTATCTGTGAATGCATGTGTGTGTATGTATGTATGTATGTATATGTGTGTGTGTGTGTGTGTGTGTGTGTGTGCGTACGGAGCATCAAACCTCTGAATAAAACATACGTTTGACGTGTGGGTGAGAGAAGTACTCTAGACCCGAGTGTCCGCATTCGTCCCGTGCTTCTAAACCACAGGCCTCCCACATATGGAGAAACCTTGGCAAACTTGTGAAATCACACCAGCACACACAGGCACAAGGGGTGCGTGGCATGTGTAAAATTTTACATCACAGCATGAAACTGTATATATAACATGGGTTATTTGTGCAGGAAATTGGAAAATAGGGGG